GCAGGAATGGAACGTCTCTGGTCCACGCCTCCACACGATTACTGAACAACAGAGAAGTTCCAGACGTCAGAACAGTTCTTTTCCTACATTTAAAACAATATATTTATTGTTTTATAATTTTTAAAACAAGATAAATCAGCATATTAGAATGATTTCTGAAATCATGCGACACTTAAAATTCAGTGTTTACATAACGGAAATAAATTACATTTGAAAATATATTCAAATAGAAATCAGTTAATTTAAATGGTAATAATATTTCACAATATTACCATTTTACTGTATTTTCAAATAACTGCAGCCTTGGTGAGTCTTCTTTTAAAGACATAAAAAATATGGCAGACCCACTTTTGAATTGAGAAATGTATATATTTGAGTGTCCAAATACATTTTTGGGGTTATAAAAAAAAAAAGTCACCTGACAGAGTGATGTCCTGATGTGTAGTCTAGTTTCCCCATGCTATGAGTGTGGTACCCACTCTTTCCTAAATGGTTCATCCATGTGGTGGCATTGGGATCAAGACATTTATAATTGTTCCAGGCCTGAGTCAAATGCACAAACTGGCCACTCCACATAGCTGCCAAAACACATTTAGATACATCAGGTATTTATCATATTTCTATATTGCATGAATACAAAACTTTTGGTACACAATATATAACAATATGTAGAGGCTGACTAATACTCTACCTGCCCTAGAAGGACAGCAGATTGGAGAATTAGTGTACGAGTTGAGAAAAACTGCACCCATTTCCCTCATATAGTTGATGTAAGGCAGCTGTACAACTTTATTGCAAGGAGAAAAAGTTAACCTGCCATCCTTCAGTAATAAGAAAACAGAAGTCAGACAACACACATTTTATTTAATAAAACCTAGTGAGCTGCTTTATAACTATATAAACTATATAACTATAGCTGTTGCTTTATAGTTAGGCAGCTTTCTAGGTTTTGAAACAGCAGTAATTCTGCAAAGTGACTGAAAAATGAGTAAAAGTGGGTGACTTACGAAGGCATCAGACACGAGCATGACTATGTTTGGTCTGTCATGTGATGTCCAGTTCAGATACATGCAGTGTGCGTTCATATGAAGAATCAACACCATTAACACACGGAACATGAGCATACTTCATCAAGACGCCAGCAGAGCGTTAAAAACCACTTTTAATAACGATGGCGAGGAAGGTTTGATAGTAAGTCGTAAAAACGT